ACCCATGTATATCCCCTTGCTGGAGCTGCTCTTCAACCATGGGATGAAACAGGATAGTATTCCCAACATTTCACCAGGGTTGGTAGGGTGATGCTTGGTCTTTGGAAAGGTTGTCCTTACTTGGGCCCCTTCACTTGAATGGGCAGGCCTTGCAAGATAATCTGTGTCTGGTTTGGTCCTAACCTTCACGAGAAGAATTGCTCAAAGGTTCTGGAGAAGGTTGTAGCTGCAGTTAATTTATAGCTACAAAGGAATCTTTCCTCAAACCGGTGGGCCAAGGTGTGCATTATATGCATCTACCCCTTCATCCTTTACAGACTTTTCCGTTCTCCTACCCCCATCTACTAAGTGTTGAACTAGAAAGAACTCTGTTTATTCTCCTCTGAGGTGACAGCTCCTATGGTGTGTCATGAGGTCCACTGCCTCCATATGTCAGTGGGCAGACTTGGAATGCCAAACATTGACACCCATCAGCACACACACATTACATTTGCAATTCTTTGTCCAGATGTATACACAGAATGACACAAACTGCAGCTTCTGGAACGAAAATGCCCAAATAGCTTTTCCATCTTTGAGACACACGCACTCAGCAGAGGAGTAGGCCCCCTGTTTGCCCCAAAATAAATGTTCCTTTTACCAGGAATGCAGTCATGCATAAACAGTCCTTTCTCAGATAGGGTATAGCCTCTCTTAGATCAAGCCATTGTTGAGAGAATCATATCAAGTGTTAGTCAGTGTGGCCATTACCAATGATTTACTCAGTTTGATGAAGGGGAGTTTCATTCCATATGGCCTTGGCCACCTGGGATGAAATGCCTCACTAATGAAGAAGCATCACTCACCTGGCTGATGATTCAGAATGGACTCTGGGTCAGCAAAGTCTTTCACAGTGAAACTGGTTGTTTCACTAGAATGTGTCCAGTGCAGTGAAATGGAGGAGTCTATGGATCACATGTTTTTTTTTTCCCCTCTGGTCATACATCTGCTATGCAATCTTATTGAAGGCTACATAGTCCACATGCTTCATAGACAACTTTTTGTCATAGAAGCCAGTTCCATTTCTAACAGTGTGAGCTCATTGGAGAGGAGGAAGCACTATGTGCATCTGTGATTACTAGTCATGATGCCAATGGTGGTATGGGCAACGAGCATTGCCTCTCTCTTCACACCATCTGGTTGCATTCTTCAAGCACCAGATGAAAGTCAAGATCAGGGCGGAAAAGGGTGAGACTTTTTTCAGAGGACTTTACTGAATGGTGGATGATTGTTGCATGATTTGTGTGAGTGAATGGTGCTTACCTTGTGACATATTTGAGCTGACTGGTTGAAGGATTTTGGAGCCAGTTAGGCGAGAATAGTTCTAGTTTTCTGAAATTAGATAACTTACCTAGGGAATCACTCACATTTTTCGTTTTTCATCTCTCCTTCACATCACCTGTTAAGCGACAGATGGTACAATTCTCTGGAGCTGTGGGAACATTTCATTTTTGGTTTTATTTTTATTTTATTTTTTCTTCTACACTTCCAACTTTCTTTTCTTCCAATTGCTAAGCAGTTGGGTGGGTCCAATACCAACACATTTCAGTGTATATAATCCTCATTCTATTACGGGTTGTTCTTTTTATGTAAATAAAAATCATATCTAATTCCCTCCCCTACTTAGATAATAGGGTTTCTAAAAGAAATAGGAATTTTTAAATTCTTTTAAAAATTGTTTATGTATAGATATATAAGAACTGGTTTAAACACTTCAAATTGACAGATTAAAAAATCTATTTAAAATGAATTGCATCTACTAAACTGGGCTTCTCCAACTATTGGAAAAAAAGAAAAGTATATATGTAATATATTTTCCCCTGGTTGGCATAAAATGACCCATCAAGATTGTCACACCGTTAAACAAAATCTAACCAAACCCTCCCCAACTTATTTGTAAATAGTATTGTAAATATGGGGTATTAGAATTTCAAGGAGATCACGTGTTGTTTTGATGATTGTGGTATGGATCTGTTTGTATATGTTATTATAGTGCTAGGAATATTGAAGTGTTTTGGAGTCAGTGAATGTGATTAGCTAAGTTAAAGTTAGAACAGTGACAACCAGCCTCTTGCATCCTTTTTTTTTTTTTTTTTTTTTTTTCAATTAAATATTAATTCCCAGCAACACCTTACATACACTGCTTTTCATCTCAATTGTATCTACCATATTTAAAAATCAACTTCAGAATTGACTATGAATTCTTTCAGATCTGTAACTTGGAACACCTAGAAAATATAGCACATATGGAGCAACTTGCTATCTCAGCTTGATGATTGTTACAGCATAAGAACTGCTATTGGCATGTAGCAAAATCCTTTCTCAGCAAAAGGTTATTCCCTTCCAATGTGTTATTCAGATAAGTCAATCACTCACAGTAAAATTTGCTCAGATTCTAGCAACTTGAAATATAGAATTCTCTTCTCCCAATTTCAATAGATCTCATTTAAGCTGAGATGTTGAAGCTTATTAAGAATTTTAACTACAATTTTGGATTTCTGTAATCCATTTTTCATAACTTGTGGTGATCTAATCCAAAAATGATTTTTTTTTTTTTTTTTTTTTTTTTTTGTTTAATGTCAAGCATTTAAGTGCCAATCAGTGTTTATGTTTATATGAAACATTTATGTTCACTTTGTGAAACCTTGATTATTAAAAATGGCTTTAGGTCTTAAAGATGATCCTTCATCACACCCTATATACTCATGCTGCAAAATCACAAAGTGCTATACTAAATAACTAAAAGTACATCATTTGAACAATTAATGTTGAATGTTCCATGTGAGGAAATGGCTAATTTCACTATTACATTATTTTTAGATTCTGAATTATTTTCAAAGGCTTGTAAGCAAAGTTGTCTGATTTTCAATTTTTGCTGCAAGTCCTATTTATCTTGAAAAGTTTCCCTACTGTATCAGTTTTCAAATTCTGAAGTTTCTTTGAGTTTACAGCCTCCTCCCTTATTTTCCCTTTTTTTTTTAACCTTTAAAAACCATTCGTGAAACGTGCTTGCATCTACTGTATCTTTACCATTCAATTTAATGATCTATTGCCTAACTTCCACTGCACTTTGCCAAATTAAACATGATGAGCAAACAGTATCGAATGTTCATTTTTATAATGATTCATGATCTTCACCAAAATAAGTTGGCACTTTTTCTGCAAATAGTTCTTAGTTTTCATGCACAAGCGCTCTAGAACCATATAAACTCCAGAAACCTTTGATTTTTCCCTACATGGTGCAGAGATGTTAATTGGAGCCTCTGCATCAATTAAATAGACACTTTCTGTAATTCATCATTCTAAAAATTGTTCAGACTATTGAACTCACGGTTTTTATTGCTTTTGTTGTTACAAACAGAATTTGCCACTCATGCAAAGACAAAGGGCTATCCAGCCGAGGTAGCACATGACTCAAGGACCCATCTGTGAAGAGGTGGTGAACACCTGTTCAACACCAAAGCGCATTAACATTTTTGATACTTTGACTTAATGCCATTCAAATATTAATTACGTAAGCTTCCGCTTCCCGTTTTTTTTCTTTCTTTTTTTTTTTTATCTGCCTATTTTTTCCCCTTCATACATTGCTGTAACTAATGCCTATGTTCCAATGGTGATATTTAATCTCTGAGGAATCCTAATTGTTCTATATATGTCATCGAAGAAAAACGTTGGTGTTGTAAGTGTTAATGAGTTCCATAAAATGGACAGAATTCTTGATATTCATTAGTGAATTGTTAGAAATCAGCTGAAGGGGAAACCTACTGAACCAATGCAGTTTACAATAGGTCTTAATAGAATAGTGCACCTTTCACTTAGAAAGGACATAAATTTACAATAGTTTACTGTGATGATGAATCTGTCATCGAAAATGTAGATATGTCAAGTGATCTATTAAGTTCACTTATCTCTCTCATATATAACTTCTTTTTTTTTTTTTTTTTTTTTTCTTTTCTTTTATCTGCTGGAACCATAATGTTTTTTGTAGAAATCTAAATGAAGTTCTTTCTTTTAGGAGAATAGGTTTTCTCAAGTCTTTCTCTCATATTCCATTTTAACTCTTCTCTGATATTTTGGCAATGTTCAGACTACTTTTTTGAGGTCACCATATCCAAATAAGTGTTTCAGTGGGTGATAATTGCAAACTCTAAATCAGTCTGGTATGGATTTGTTTTGTTTGCTTAGCAAAGAAAGAATTAGAAAGTGGAATCACCTGCATTACACACATTGGTGTGAATGGGTTGGTATGCTCAGTATATTTCTCATATCCAAAAAATAGATTATACACCTAAAGCTGCTGAACCTTATATTATAATGGCTTAGCTGAAACATTGTTATTGCAAGACAAAGATTGGGTTCACTACTTCAAATGACAGTTGAAAATGGATGTTGGCAATATTACTTTTTAGATGACTTAAAAATCAACATTATTCTAGAATTATCATTAACTGAGATTCTACATAAATCTTCGTCTGGTCCTTTAAAAAAAAAAAAACTATTTACCTGCTAAAAAAAAATTATTAAAGTTCAGTTACAAAAAGCAAATTATATAAAAGTAAATTTTTTTTTTAATATCTTTAAAAAATGTTTATTAATCTACATTGAAAATTAATATCTGAATTTTTTAAATTTATTTTTTATTTAATTTATGAAATATTGATTTTAAAATTTAAATTATTTTTTAATTGTTCTATAACAATTTTTTTTTTTTTTTTTTTTTCAATTGAAAAAGTTTAATTATATTTCTTTCAATGCACAATTGAATTTTTCCTTTCTACATATTTTTTCTTAAACTTAAAATTGTATTTCTTCTCTTATTCCTTTATTTTTTTTATTTAAAATTTTATTTCCTATATTTGTTATTAATGGGGAATCCCCCTCCTCAACTGCTACCCTCTGCTGTTTCTATCATATTTACTTCAACACCAAAATTCCGGTTGGGTTCTTTTCAGCTGCTTTAGGTGAAAGGAATGGAAGATATTTCCTGCAGCAGCAACAGCAGCCTTCCTCGTAATCTCTCTGAAAATCAGGTATTCGTCCACCCAGATAGCTGTCCAAAAAGCAGTACAGCACACAGCTGGGATAACATTGCTTTTGTATTTTTTTTTTTTTTACCTCCCCCATTGTTGACAGAACAAGAGGAAGAATGACTGCCAATTACAAAAAAAAGTCACACTTTCTCTTCAGCTTCTTTCTTCTAACAGTTTGTTTCAATAACATTACATGATTACATGGCACCCTCGCTGAATAGCTTTTGAATATAGCATTTTCAGATTATTCTAAGGTCATTTAGTGCAGCAGTCCCCAACCACTGGTCCGTGGACTATTCGATACTGGGCTGCAAAGAAAAAATAAAAGCGATTCCTTTTTGTATTTTATTGACTATCACAGTCTTGTTTATTATGTTTTGTTAAGTGCATCACTGACACCAATTCCTAACCTCCTCCCACCCAGTCCGTGGAAAAATTGTCTTGCATGACACCAGTCCATAGTGAAAAAAGGTTGGGTACTGCTGATTTAGAGCATTAAATCTTCCATTTTTAGAAAAAAAAGATTTCACCCATGTTTTGAACAGGAGTAGAGGGTTTATCCATTGTGTTAGGATTGGGTTCTCAGTTCTTTCTTTTAAAGTCTTCTTGATTTAGTTATGTTTTTTTTTCCCCACTCCCCTTGTCTTTTAGTGATATTACTGCCTTGCTTGGAGTGAAATGATTAAAAAAAAAAAATTCAACAAATTTTAATTGTAGAATTTTTTTTTTTCCCTTTGCAACTCTTAAGCAAAATGACAGTTTTTCTCTTTTGGATGATAATAATACAAAATGGTTGCAGCCACATATAATTATTGCACATTTGAAAAAGAAAAAAAAACTTGAAAATTCAATCAGTAGCAATATATGCTCCCTTTTTCATCTAACAAGTGATCTCCAAAATATTTGCCTCAACATAAATTAAGCAAGATAAGGTGACCATTTTGTCAATTTCTCCCATATTAACTCTCATTTTGCAGTTTATCATCTTACTACAATTAGTTCAACAAGATTTATAGTTACACATCTACAGCTCAACTGACTGCTTGATCCTGAATAATTCTAGCTAGCTTTACTGAAATAAGCAGATGCTCTCTAGCATTCCAAGATTGCCATCATGCCAAGCAAAAAGAAATCCTGTCATGAAATAATATAGTGGTAAATGTTTCTTTGTGATAGTTTACATTATTGACAAGTGAGAGTGCCATGTCTTTGTGTTTGTAATGTTACATTGCAGATTTTTGCAGCTGGTGCTTCCAAATTGCAATTGCTGCATGGTTTCGTGGTGCATCATAAATCTTCTATTTTTTTTTAGTCCAATATGACAGCATGTGGAGATTAGGCAGTTGCATAATGCAAAACGATTGTGAATGATTGGTTTGGAATCATAAAATCAAGTGGTGGCTTATCAGAACCTTGGGTAAGATTTTCATTTGAAGTAATATTTACAGTAAATAATAAATATTCATCAAAGTCCAACTTTATATTCAATATTAAATTCCTGTTTGATAAAACATTGTCAGCCATTATTATTTTCGACTTTTATTTCTTTCATCTAATCCCTTTTTATCACAAATACATAATTCTACAGTTGCAATAAAAAGCCACTGAAATTAATATGAAAAAACAAAATGAACAATTATAGTTGATGTAATACTTTATCTAATAGAAATCATTCAAGACAATATTATTTCTAACATAAACAAAGCAACTGAAATTAAGATGAATGTAGATTAATGAAGATTATCAAATCCATATATGATAATCTGTGTTAGGGCACCTCGATGTGGTGTAATGGTTAGAAAGCTTGTCTTGCTAGATCAATTACGACTGAGTAGCGAGTTCAATCCTCACTGGGTACCCCATACTTTTGGCCTTGTGCTACATCTAAGCCGGGCTTAGAAAATCACTATATGATAATCTGTGTTTTTGAATTAGCTTACTTGAAAAGTGTTGGATTAATTTAAATTCTTTTTCAGGAGAGGATTGATAAAACTAGTGCTATGCCAGATTTGTAAGTTTAAATGTAAAGATATGGCTATATTTTCACAAAGATTTTTTTTTTTTTATCTTCAAATAATAATAAAGGTTTATTACATTGAAATGCTGTCTATTAAATCCATGGTTCTAAAGTAGTAAAATCATATCAACTCTGAGGTCATTGGGAAATTTTAGATCAAAAACACTTGGCATTTCATTTTGATCTTTTCAAAGTCAAAAATTGATATGATGGGTACTTTAACGTTTTAGCTTGTCTATCTTTCCCAAAATTGACTAGACATCAGAATTTCTTTTAGAATCCCTTTATGATCAGACTAAGAACTTTTTTTAACAACCCCTTGTATATTTTAGGGGATAAAATGTCCGTTTTCACTGTAACTAAATGTTATTTCTAGCAAAGCAGTGGAACACATTGAATATGGAACTCAACAATTTAAAACCCTACAAGGGTTGCAAATGAATTTGAGGTTGAAAAATAAGAATTATCTAAGCTTAAAAATAAAATAATCAGCTGATGCTGGTCATGTAAATGCAGTCCTTAAAAAAATAAATACAAAAGAACAAAGATATTCCTGAAGGGAAATGTGATTTCTGACTGAAATTCCAAAATTCTTAACTAAATATTCATACCTTCAAGATTACCAACAACATCCTTCCTAGTAGATATCAAATGACTTTAATTTTGTATCATTACTGTTTTTGTTAATTTATCCTTCTTTTCATTAATCATGATTTGTTTTATTAAGAATAATAATGGTGTCAAAGAGTCTGTAAGAAGTCAACATTAAAAAAAAACATGGAGAACTTCAAATTTAAGCAGAATCTCTTAACAGAGCTTCATTTTATTTTTGCCTTCATTTTTTATTTCCAAAACCATGTGTACAACAGGACAAAAAAATAAAATTGACCATGATAAGAGGGTCTATAAGTTTTGAAGGCCAGTGAGGAATCAATTGAAGTAAAAATAAAAATCTTATTTGAAAAAATAGTTAAAGCAGATTATTTTTGTCATGTTGATACAATCCTATAAAGACAGAACTGAATTTAAAAGTTTATTGCCAAATAAAACTAACTTAAATTGCACTTCTGAAAAACCTCTACTCATTAGCGATATCGGATAATTAAAGACAGTTGTATTTATTTCGTACATTTGAATGTTCTTACTAGATGTTTGGTGGTTATTGCTTCAAATTGAATGATAAAGTTGTTTTTGTGTTTCAAACCAACAGATACTTTTTTCTGTAGAGAAAGATAAGATGTGGACTTTATTGCACTTAACAAATGATTTTCTATAAAAAAAATACTTGCCCAATGTTCTGACTTGCCACTTCTGATTCTAAAATTCCAGATTCCTACAGGACAAGGACATTTTTCTTTTTCTTCACACTTCATTTGCATGCAAATGATTTTTCCACACTTACCACAAGTGTACAATACAAATATTAAGTACTCTTCCATCATCATTGTACAGAGAATGGGAAGGGACTAAATATAAAACATTGATTGGCTGTGCTTTACAACTTTCTGCTTTGCTGTTCTTATTTAGTAAAGTCTCATAATGTTAAAACAAAACTTAGAATTTTTCTTTTTGTCTTCTGGCAGCAGTGGAAAGTTTTGTTCTTGGTTTATTTGTAGAATAAAGGAGTAGCTAAAGATGTAAACTGAAGACCTCCTCTTTCATGACTGATGCCTTGACCAATTAGGCTCTCAAGATTAGCTAGATGTTATCTAAACTCATTTAACATATATAGTTGAATACAGTTTTACAGGCAAAATATTAGAGATTAGGCTATACATTGGGTTGAAATCTAAAATGATATCCTAATTGGCTGAAATGAATGCTTAAATAAAAAAAATATCCAATATTTTTTTAAACTTTCTTTCAGCATAAAATAAAAATGGTGTTTTGTCTTTAGCACTTAGGTTTCAGGTTGACTAAATTTTAGGATTTGAGAAATTTTTGGACTTTCTTGATGTGTACTTTTATATGCTAAAAATACAATAGAAATTAAACAAAGATTAATTTGTTGTTGGATGATCTGAAAAAAAAAAATTCTCCATCCTTCAAGTTTAACTTCAAACAACCTCAGTTATCCTTTAAGTACATGCTACCATCAGTAAGTAAGTAATGTATTTTACAATTTGGATTTCATTCTTTCTCTCATTCATACATAATATACATACATACATTAAAAAAAAAATAAATATCTAGTGAGCGAGAACCCATCTTCAGAGCCGGTAATACCCTGAAGTAAGGTTCTGGCTCACTAGGTTTTTTAGATTTTTACTTAGTGTATTGAGCACTTTTACGCTTTTCTTTAATTTACTCTGTCAGTGTTTTTTCTTTCAAATAGACAGTGCAGTGCTGATTGATTATTTTCGACCAACACAGATGTCTTTAGCCTTTTTTCTTTTTTTTTTTTTTTTTTTTTATTATCAGGGGTGGGGGGTCACACTGTCAGAGTATAGGTATTAAAATAATACACACACACACACACACACACACACACACACTATATATATATATATATATATATATATATATATATATATATATATATATATATGATGATGATGAGACAAAGTGGCAAAATTTTTTTTTTTTTTTTTTTTTTTTAATCAAAGTCAAGTTTTGCCACTAGAGAAAAGTTTGATAATGAAAGAAAGACAAAAATACTGTAAGGGGGGAAAAATGTCTCGGGATCTCTGAGGACAAGCAGACATTGTATTTCAAATGTATTGCTCCAGCCTATAACCTCATAATTTGGGCTTGAAGAGAGTCTGTCTGTTGAGCTTGTTTTATCTGTATCTATACTAGAGCTGTTTGGTATTCAAACTTTTCTTTGATTAAAAAAAAAAAATGAAATAAAATTTACACTTTGTCTCATCTTCACTTTTGTTTCAGATATTATGCATACTATACACCTGCCCCTGCCCCCCTCACAAAATAAGACCATTAACATGTGGTAAGACTGACAGCTACATGGTTCATCTCAGGATAA